ATATATATATATATATATATATATGTATATATAAACTACTGTATTATACTCTCACGATGAGATAGTGGGCATCGACTTTGATTATTTTGGCGATACTTATTTCATTGCTCAATATTGGGCGTTGCTCATTTACAGTTCTATTTTTCTTACTTAATCTCTATTAATGGCCGTCGCCAGAAAGCTGCCAATATTTTCTTTAATACTATTGTCAGTAGCGATTTTGAAATGAACGAATACAACGATAAATGACTAAACGCAACTCTAAAAAATGTTTTTCTAATATCATTACAATATAATTTTGAAATATATAATTTTTCACGTATAAATATTGTAAAATATTTTGCTTTTATTAAAATATTTGTTTATTAAAAGGAAATGGGATGTAGAATACAAATATTGTGCTTTACTTATAATGACCTTGCAGGACGTTTTTGTTTCCTTCCATACACTGAGTATGAAAAACATACTTCTTTGCCCATTAGCTGTATTAAGATTACCGCTGTAAGTTGTTTCTCATCTCCTCCAACCGAAGGAAGAAAGTTCGTCTAAAATAAGAAAACAAATGTAATATAATTGGTTGTACTAAAAGTATAATGGTTCCTCATGTGTATGTATTAGATGGTTTTCCATTAGAGTAAAAGCAATTGGTTATAAATGGATTATGACATCTGTAGCGGTAAATACACCCTACAGATGTCATAGATATTAGTAGTCATTACTACACAAAGTACATTGCTAACTGGGCATAAAAGATAAAACCACAATAAAATGTCGTAAGCATTTGTATAAAACATTCTGATATACAACGTAATTATAGTCAATCACGTATCATATTGTATCATTTGTTTGTCTGTTTTATATGAATGTATCATATATTTTAAAAAATTAGAAACTTTAACAGTACATGGTTCTGTTTCCAAAAACTATTAACTAATATCAATTCACTGACATATACTATTGATTCATAAGGTGTCTATGGTCCATAATTTTTTTTCGAGGTTTAAAAGATCTTTTATCCTCTACAACCGGCAAATAAATTCAACAAAGAGATATTTAAGCAAAGCTCTGATGGAATCACTTAACCCTAAAATACTTAAGATTTCTTCAATCTTTGAGAAACTGAGAGACAATCTCATCAATGTCACTTTTTTTGTAACCTACATCGGCACAGAATTTTCCGTTTTAAAGCAGTCTCATAACTGTCAAAAAAATATATAAAGAAGAGATGAAACCATACTAAACAATCAACATTTACTATATTTGAGTCAAACATAGCTGTTTAGTTAAAAAACAAAGACAATACTATAAATAAAACAAAAACAATATTGTAAATAAAACAACTACCAAAAATCTCTTATTTTCACCTGCTTTCAGTTACTTTTAAAAGCGTGACTTTATGTATGGCAGCCTAAAATCAAGATGCTTGCAAGTGAGTTGGCCAATACACCAAACTTTCATTGATCCGCCATTAAAAACAGATTACACTCATGGCACACATATTGTTTTTTCATTTAAAATTTTAGCCAAAGCAAGTTTTGTAAACTTTATTACCACCTTCAGTTTAACGGTACATTAACTAAAAAATAATAACAAATTTATAATATAAAAAAGCGTCAGATTAACTTTTTTTTTCAAATTATTAATTTTTTTTAAAATCAAAATATTAGTCTTAAAATTATTGAGTTTCATTTCTTAATGTTAAATGTAATTGCTTTTTATTTGAAGTAAAGTTTAACTATTGGTTAGTAAAAAAAAATGAATTTTAAAGTTTGCGCGGTTTGGAAAGGTTACTATAATAATATTTTCTTATATAAATATGAAATTAAGGAGGATAAACAACTTCAAGCTCTAAGTAAATATTTACTTTTTTTCAATTTATAAGCATGATTGCATGTTGTTAAGTTGGAGTTAGTCATAATAGAGGAATAAATACTAACTATATATATTGTCATATACTAATAATAAGAAGTATCCTTATTAACACGCATGCTATTACAACTCAGATTAACTACTTAATGGTCTGTAATTACAATAATAAATATAATAGCTGTGCAGATGACATCATTCTGACACAGGTGTTGATAGATAAAATACTGAATGGTATTTAATGAGGATACAAAAGGGTTGCAACTACGTTTATAAAGATTTTTAATGCATTTGTAAGTTTCTGCCATGTCATTACATAAAAAAACGATAGCTCATGCTAGTTAAATTTAGTCTCAGTAGTCTTTGGTTGTAAGTGAGTCCAGTCTAGCCAAAAACAAACTTACTAGACTAGCATAGAACATTTTAAATTAATTGTTGATCTTTTTAAAGTCTAGGATAGTAGACAGAGCTGCAAGAATCAAGGTGAGGACAAAGAAGAAAAATAAATAAAGTATGAAATGTCAAGATATTGAGATTAGTAAATGATCCTTTGATCATTCCTATAATTTTATTGACGGTGTTATTCTTTGTAATTACAAAATAAAAGTCAAACTACTGTCATTAAAGATCCCTATATTGAAAAGAGAATTTTTAATATTAATTGAAGTATTGAGATTTTTATCGGCGAGTATATAAATGAATTTTGTATTTGAGGTTCTAAGGGCATAACTTTTCATTTTTTTACATTAAAACTTATTTTTCATAATTTTGCCAAGTCTGCTATAATATCCATACTTTATTGCAGGCAATTGCATGGTGAGATATCAAAAAGCAAACTGAGTATGTACCACTAACAATAATATTTTAATGCCGATCTCTTAGGTAACATTCAAATCCAATTGTAGAGTTAGTCATCTATTCTAAAAGATTTTAATATTAGAAATAGGAGATAGTTGTGTAATGTGTCGAGAGTTTTTGATTTTTCTGATATAAATTTTCTACAGCGGTTCTATTCTCCAAGGCTAATGTCCAACATCAATCCTCACTAAAATTTTTACTATTTTCAGCATTATTCATTGTGCAAATTTTACTTTAATCTTGTTTAACTACTCTTAATTTAATGTGATGCAGCAGATCAAGTTCAACTTATTGACTTGTTTATTACCTATAACATTGCATTAAACTACTGCATAAAATAAATAAATAAATAAATATATATATATATATATATATATATATATATATATATATATATATATATATATATATAGGTATAGATATAGGTATTGATATACAGATAAATGATATATATATATATATATATATATATATATATATAAATATATATATATATATATATATATATATATATATATATATATATATATATATATATATATATATATATATATATATATATATATATATATATCATTGATGTTATTAGGTGTCTAGCCGGGGAAAACAGTTCGAAACAATAATAATAACGCATTTATTTCTTAATTAGATATCTTTTAAAAAATAAATAGGCTATATAACTTATATTTTATAGTTGAAATCTTCACAATGTGTTTTCATTAAAGAGTAAACATACTATTTTAATCTTGATACATATCAATATCAGTAATCAAATATCAGTAAACAAATCGCAATATCAGTAAACGATAATGGGATAATGTTGGCAAAATATTGTTTGACAATATTGGTAAAACAATATTGGCGTAATATTGCTTGACAATATTGGCGCAATATCGGATATCTTAGCCAAGAATAACCAAGATACCCAATATCGTGCCAATATTTCTCCAATATTGTTTGCTACTTGGGTTGTTTATTCTTATCGTATTTTTCTTATCCTGTATGAATGCTTTATGATTATAATGATGAATGAAATTATATTGATAGCTTTTCGATTTTGGATCGTGCTAAAACCAAAGTTGAATTAAAAATTAAAGAAAGCATATATATATGATGGGAAAAACCCGATATGAATAAACAAATAAACTTTGTTAAAATGACTCTAATAATTTAATTTGAGTTACCAGTTTCTTTTGTTACATTTGACACTTGTTAAAATAGTTTTTAATATATCTAGGAATATATGGGAAGTTCGTTTACAATTTTATCATGCTTATTTTTACAAGTATATACTATATTTTATACCGTTTTTAACAAACATATTATAACTATGATGACTATATATAGTCGAAACATGTCTTGAATAATAAAATATTTTTAACCCTTCCGCGACTGAGCTAAAAACAGCTACACGACTGGGCGTAAAATAAAGAAATAGAATCTATTCAAAGAGTATAAAAAAAAAGAAATTTAGAAACAAGACCTTTTTTTTTTTTTTCTAAGAATTGGATTGTAGAATATCCAAAAACTCAATTAAATAAAACTAAAAAATCAATTTTGTTTATATTAGTTACGTGATCAAAATATATTGTGTTAAAATTAACAAAATTATAAAGTTTTATTTTGCAAACTTAAACAAATAAAAAAGAAATAGATAACCATATCATATTTGATATTAAATTAATGAAGTCCTTGTAGTGCAGATCAAACAAATAAAATATCCACCACTATCATTGATATAAAATATAAGTGGGTTCTTTTATATCTATATAATATAATGTGTTCTTCGTCATTTTTTTTAAAATTGATTTTAGAGCGATCTATAAAAGCAATTAAGAAACGGTTTTAAGGATTAACTTAAGAAATTATTCTCAATTCAAAGATAATTTTAAAGTTTTTTCTAATTGCTATAGATGCTTTAAAATATTTGAAATTGTTTTTGCACCGCCATGCGGGTCACTCGTAATTTATTTACAAATTTAATGATCCGCCTTACGGGTCACGCCTTACGAAAGGATTAAATAAAATTAAAAAATTTGTCTTATTTTCAAAGCTAATATATATATATATATATATATATATATATATATATATATATATATATATATATATATATATATATATATATATATATATATATATATATATATATATATATGTATACATATATATATATATATATATATATATATATATATATATATATATATATATATATATATATATATACATACTTCTATATTTGCACATGCACATCAATTTTTTTTTTTTTTAAGGAGGATGGTGGATTTTTTATAATAACTAACAAAGAAGTTACCGCAAACCAAACTCAATCAGTATGCCCTGAAGATCCAAGATTTAAGAAAAACGAATGTAAAAAAGATGCACAATGCTTGCCACCTTTAGCACCTGTCCATAATGGAAATGGTATGAGTTGCATTTTTATTTACACGGTTCATATATATATATATATATATATATATATATATATATATATATATATATATATATATATATATATATATATATATATATATATATATATATATATATATACATACATATATATATATATATACATATGCATATATATATATATATATATACATATATATATATATATATATATATATATATATATATATATATATATATATATATATATATATATATGCATATATATATATATATATATATATATATATATATATATATATATATATATATATATATATATATATATATATATATATCCTTATAGTGTAGTCAAAAAGCACTTTTATGGTAAAAAAAAGTCTCTTTCGACTACAATTTTTTTAACTCGTCTTTTAAGCTGCATTTTGTCAAAATGTCAAAGCAATTAAATTAATGCGGAAGTATCTTAAATGTTATCGTTTTTTAAAAAAACCACAATAATAATAGACTAGAAGGTTTTTTTAATTGGTGGTGTTTATGTTTCATTAAAAAACATTTTTAAAACATGCGAAAGTGTTGCTACATCGACTATTTTATAGCCTGACTCGCAACGGAGTGCTGCTACATCGACTGACAAATAGCCTGACTCGCAAGGAAGTGGTGCTACATATACTGACTAATAGCTTGACTCGCAAGGGAGTGCTACTAAATCGACTGACAATTAGTTCGACTCGCAAGGAAGTGCTGCTACATCGACTGACGGTTTGGTTTGGGCACGCAGTCTATTATTTAAAAAAAAAAAGTTTTTTGAAGTTTTTTAACATTTTCTGGTCAGGTTTATAAACGCGCTCTTTAGATCAACAGTGTATAGGAAAAACTTTTTGACTACCATGCAAGACCAGGTTTATACTTTTTGAAAGGAATATATATATTTATATATATAGTATATATATATATATATATTATATATATATATATATATATATATATATATATATATATATATATATATATATATATATGTATATATATATATATATATATATATATATATATAGTGTATATATATATATATATATATATATATATATATATATATATATATGTATAGTAATATATATATTTATATATGTAGTATATATATATATATATATAGTA